CTGATGATGGCAGATGAGATTCTGCCAAAACGTTGCTACAACTTTAAAAGCACAACTACAATGACGTGGGAAAATACCCGAACAAAGCTGAATGCCATACATGTAAGTACCCGCGAAAACTTAAGAAAACTAAGAAAGGATTTATTATTATTAGTAGTAGTAGTAGTAGTAGTATGCTCTGATGTTAAGGAGTTCGACTCCCCCTCCCCACCTGAAAAGAAATCTCTTCCAAATGCAAAACACAAGCAAAGGAGAAGAGTTTCTGTTTTAGTTTCAGAGCACCAAGCAGCTTCAGTACAGAACAGTTGAGCTAAGCCACGCCCAGGCTCCTTGCTGTCTCCTTCTTGCTCACACAGCAAATACTGTTTCAGTTTCCAAACAGCCCTCAACTCTCCCCCTCACCAACAGGATGCTAGCCAGCTGAATACCGATGGATGCTGGTAGGCAGAGGCAGAATTTTTCCCCCTTATTTTCCTCCCAAAAAACTAAGACCAGCCACATAGTTTCACAGGAAAGCATGGGTATCGAGCTATATATATATATATATATATTTCCCCCATAGCAAGGACAAAATCCAGAAGCGATTTCCTAATATAAAACAAAATTAAATATATTCTCTTCTTTGGATAAAGGAACCCATTTAATCAATCTCTGCTTGTCTTTGCTGTGGGAAAAAATAAACATTTCTATTACTCATTCGTCTTTCATTTAGTCTATGGAGATTCTCAATCCTCCAGGTCCTTTTCTCCCAAAAGCAACTGGACTTTCTTGTTTTTTTTCTTGAAGACTTTTTCCTTCTTGCCTAGAAGCTTCCTCAGTTCTGAGACTCCCGATTCGTCAATTGTAAGTCGAGGACAATCCATAGCTGAAGCTTAGAACCAACTTCCAGCAGAGATAGGTGAGTTTATCATCCTTAACTAAGTTTAAACAAGCTTGGGACAAACACATGTCCATCACCTGACAAAAAATAAAATAAATACCACTACTGATAAAAAAAAAAAAAAAACTTGCAAGGGTAGACTTGACGGAGAAAGTTTTCTATGTTTCTATATATTTATTCGCAGGAACTGTCTTTCGTAGTTTTTGACCTAGAAATATTTGAACCAAGCTGCTAAATGTTGGCAACTTATACAAAGATGTTATTTATTCTTCTTGGAACAAAGCCATAATTGGAATTATTTTATTCAGCAGCTGCAGAATATCCCACTGGATTGTTTTAACATTGGAAACAAATGCAGTTATTTCTGCTTTTTCATTTTCTTATACAGATATTTCTCACTCTCTCTCTCTCTTGATTTTTCTTATCCAAATAAAACAACAACAACAACAATAATAATCTAGAAATTAAAATTTGGAAAATTTGACAACCAAATTTTAATTTGCAGGGTAACTTTTAAAATCATGCTTAGCTGGAAATGGGTAGCTTCCGCATGCATTTTAAAAAAAGTCACTTGGTAATCTAAATCCTGATTTAGATAATTCTGTCAACTGTAGAGATGACTAAGATCTCCGGTGAAAAGCTAGAGGAGGTTTGAAGGTAGAGGAATATTGGTATATGTTGGTAAATTAGTATATTTGTAGCTCATCATCTCTCTCTCTCTCTTTCTCTCTCTGTTTATGTGTGTGTGTATGGCTATATATATATAAAATCAAATGAAATTTTGACATATGAGAATCATTTGCAGGAAGTGACTGAAACAATTTTAGAATGAGGTTTTCACAAGTAAATGAATGACTTCATAGTATGTCCTCTGCTGTACCTTATGAACTAGTGGGGTTATTACAGATTGCATTCTGGGTTTGCACAAGAGGCAAAAATATGAATTACGGTAACTAGAATTCCTCCCTCTCTCCCTTCTTCCTCTTCCTCCGCCTGCTTGCAAACCCCGATCTCTTCTAGCTCTAATGATGTTCTTAGATGGGACATGAAATGTCTGCAAGAAAGCCATCAAGCTCAGAGACCACCAAGAACCCCACATTCCTCCTCCTTTTCCTCCTCCTCCTCCCTGTAAAACCCACTCCCTCCTAGCACTGATGATGTTACTTAGTTCGCTAATAAAATGTCTGCAAGAAAGCCATCAAGCTCAGAGAGCACCAAGGACCCCACAGCTGCCACCTCCTCCTTTCTACAGAACTCCCTCCCTTCTAGCACTGATGGTGTTCCCTAGCTGGGTCATGAAATGTCTGCAAGAAACTACCAAGCTCAGAGACTACCAAGGCCTCCTTCTCCTCCCCTTCTCCTTCTTTCCACAAACCTTTCTCCCTTCTAGCACTGATGGTGTTCTCTAGCTGGGTCATGAAATGTCTGCAAGAAAACTGCCAAGCTCACTGTGAACACCCAGTGACAAATATTCTCTTCTCCAAGCATTCATGCATGTATGTGATTTCTACAACCTCCCATCTTGAGGATGTTGTGCAAAATGCAGGCCATGCCAGGGGGATAGAGAGAAAGAAAAAAGAGCCTGCCAGGGAATTGGACTGTTGTGGCCCACCAGCGACCAGCAGAGCTGGCAGCAGACTCCGACAGTGAGGAGGTTGGGGAGGAACCTGGACCAGTCCTGGAGGTTGAGGAGGGCTCGGACGAGGGCTCTGTGTGGAGGCAGAGATGGGGCTGGGGCCGTCTAACAGTCATCAGCTGCTGTCGGAGTTGGAGATCAGTGGGGAAGAAGAACAGCTGGAGCCTGTTCCCAGTGTGAGCATGCACAGAGCTGCAAGAAGAATGGAACTGCTACAGAACAAGGATCGACTCGGGAATAAAGCCACAGGTGGACAATGAATTGCCCCTCCCCAGGGATTAAAAGAGAAGCAAAAGGGGAGGGGGCTTTTACAGGAAACAATTCCTTTGTTCATTGCCGCAGTGGGAAGATCTGCCTGTGCATCTCAGGGACTCCGTGCCGAGCCCTTCCTTGTCAGCACTGTGTTTGGAAATATTTGCTTGGCAACTCTCCAAGCTAGATAAGGTCTGTGCTCCTAATTAGACCCTTGAAAGACTGTTTGCCAGGCCTTTGGCTGAAGGTGAATGCAAGAAATTCACCTTTGTTTAATAAAAGTGGTTTTGCCAGGACAAAAATTCTGCTTAGTGCTTTTTGGGGAAGACAACGACAGAACATGTGTCCTGACTTGGTGCCAAATGAGGAAAGACACACAGCCTCTTCCGTCTGCAAACCCACTTCCTTGTTCCTTCTAAAGAAAGTAGTTAAAACCAGAGGCCAGTTTGGTTCACGAAGCCAAATGTTTATTCTTATGCACGTTCTGTCATGTCATTAAACATCATCCTGGCGACGGGATCAGAAAGCCATGGAAAATTTAAGGAGCACTAGGAAAAGGAGGCAGCTGTGGCTTGGCTTCGCAGGAAAACAAGCCAGAATTATAAATGCACGTAGGAAAACAATGCAGAATTAGAAA